CACTGAAGACTAAGCCGCAACCACTCAAGGCACCGGATACGGCACCGAGGAAACACTCGGCACCTAGGTCATCCCAGTCAAGGCCTAGTGATACAGCTATCCCACACACTCAGGGCACGTCGGCACCAACCCGCACCGACCAACCATTGTGCGCGGCTGAGCTAGCTCCGTGTGTGGTTTCGGCACCGGCCCTTACGGCCCTACAACCCCATGTCTCTGGGAGTGACACGGCTCCACCATCCCCATCTTCTGCGCCTCGGTCACCACACCTTCCGGGAGAAGTCTCTGACGTTGCCTCAGTTGCCTCCATTCCGGGTAGCCCAGTCCCCCAGGCTCTACCATCCACGGCGGTGCCGACTAAGGCGCAAAGGAAGACCCACCATCCTCGCACACCTTCTCCAGGTTCCGATAGGGCGACTTTCTCCCCTGGACCATCGCTCTCACCACCTCAAAGACGGCAGGATCACTATTACGATTATTCCCCTACACATCACTATTACAGGTCCCCAAGGCGATCCATTACACCGCCTTGCTATCACCGCACCACAGGAGCGCCGCCTGTTACTCTCCGCAATATTCACACCGTGGTTCTCGCCATCGTATGCACACCTCGCCTCATTCTGATCATTCACGTTCAGTCACAAGGCGCTCACCCTTGTCCCCAGACCGGAAACAATTATATTCACTACGGCCGACTACCCAGGAATCTATTCCGCCGGCTCAATGCCCACCAACGCCTACCGGGGATGCGTCAACAACCTCTGCCCCGCATGACGATACCACTCAGTCGCCGGTGGCAGAGCACCAGCCCGTAGCCTCTCCGACAGATGCCGCTTCCTCTTCCCCGGATGATGCGGTGTTTAACAACGAACCTCCTCTTGCGGATGACTACAAGCAATTTCATGAACTTTTCAAACGGGTAGCACATTCACAAAACTTACGTACCTCTGGGGCACCACCAAAACACCATGCCCTCCTTAGAAACTTACAGCAGTCCAACAAGTCAAAACTAGCTCTCCCTTTCGATGCCGCTATCCTGGAAGTAGCTAATGACATCTGGCAAACCCCAGCATCTATGCCCCCTACCAATAAACGCACAGACAGAAAATACTTTATTGATGTCAAAGACGCAGAATTTCTTTTTACTCACCCCGTACCAAATTCCATCGTTGTCGACGCAGCCCAACAAAAGGCAAGGTCCGCACAAGCGAGAAATTCCGCCGCGGACAAAGAAGCCAAGCGTCTGGACTTGCTCGGCAGACAGGTATATTCGTCGGCAACAGCCACATTAAGGATGGCAAACTATTCCGCCCATCTTGCCAACCATGACTTCGATAACTACTCGAAGTTGGTGCCGTTGATACAACATCTTCCACATTCCAAAAGGGACGTACTGAAATCCATTGTGCAGGAGGGTTACACAGTGGCCCGTAATGCACTCCAGATATCTCTGGATATTGCCGACTCAGCTTCCCGCACTACGGCGACATCGATCGTCATGCGACGTGCCTCTTGGCTCCACCTTGCTTCTGTACCAAAAGATCTACAGCCCAAGGGAGAGGACCTTCCATTCGAT